ATTTCTTTAAAAAAGTCCTGGATTGTTTCTTAGTATCCAGTTATAGTCTGTGTATCTAATATTTATAGGTAAAGTTGATCCAGGGAATATCCGATTGCCTCTCGGAGGATCAGGAAGGAATATTTTCCCCTTCAGGAGCAAATTGAATCATGGTTTGCTGGTTTTTTTTGCCTTCCTCTGGATCAATTGTGGGTATAGGATTAAAATAACTTTTTTTTTGGGTTGAACTACATGAACTTTAGTCTTTTTTTCAGCCAAATTAACTATGTAAGTATGTAACGTTGAGCGTTCTACAAAACCGGCCATTGCATTTTCATTAAAATAGTTAGAATGCTGGGATTTCTAATAAAAAAGCCCAGGCATTTAGTGTTACATATAAAATATTAATATACACTCTTTTAGCCTCCCCCCCAAAAAAAGGGTAAAAAACATTTTAGTCCTGAACATAACAAATATGGAATATATGTAAAAACTTGTGCAACACACAAAATGTTAGGAGTGTTTATAATCTGTACACAAATTGTCCTGCCTAAGCAACATCTCTTAAATAAGTGAGAGGAAATAATAGTCATGCAACCATAAAATTCAGTATAATTTTTAGTTTTATAGTATAGGTTTCAAATAAACTGCTGGCATATTTAGGTTGAGCTAATACTTCTGTGTCACACAATTGCATATGGCTTTGACCAGGATAATCAGTATGTATACAATATGCATATATCATACATGTGGCAAATGTTCATTGATATCTAAACTCCAGCACACCTGCCTTCTAAGTAAAATAAAAACAGGGTCCACAATACCTGGAAATAATGTATGTACTTTGGAACCCTGCCAGATCATAATACACAATATATAAACATAGTTAAATAGGGGCAAGAATAGGATAGCAGCAAGAGGTAAGGATGTGAATTGTTCCATATGAATTGTAAAATGATGACATTGTAATTCATGCTGTGAATTAAAGACCCATTAACAGCAAAGATTGTATTCCTTCAACAAAAAGAAACAAACAAAATCTACTTCAATGAAATATTTGAGGCAAGACCAAAATGTGGTGGTTAAGGGCATATTAAAAAAAATAAAAAAAACGTTGAATCAAGGTACATTGTACTGTTTTTAATTATTGAATATTACAGTACAACTCTCATTGATTTGGACCACTGCTGGTTCTGTATTAAAAATAATACCTAATTTTAGGTCCCTGGGGTGCCTGCTATGTTCTGCCATTATTGATTTAGAACTTTTTCTCTCACTTCAGATTTGTTTTAATTGCTGTAAATGCTGGTTTAGGGTGAGTCTTTTGAACTAATCCTGTTAGATGACGAATGCACATTTTGATGTAGTAAGTATGTCTTTGGTGTCCTGATTGTTTTCAGGTGCCAAGCATAGCTTGCAATCCAGAATTAATGACAGGCCTCCTCATACTAACAGGGTAAGCATACTAGCATGGTAGTTGGCATCTATACCAGGGGTGTCCACCCTTTTGACTTTCCTGGGCCACATTGGAAGAAGAGGAATTGTCTTGGGCCACACATAAAATACAATAACAATAAGAATGCTGATAAGCAGAAAAAGATCAAAAGTTAACGATCACTGATATAGATAATTAGCCTAACTGAAAAAAATCTAGAACCATTGGCTTTTCCATGATTAGGCCTCCTGACATTGAACCCAAAGTATCTGCAGGCATTTCTGTGTTCAAAGCTCTTCCAGGAGAAAAAACAATAAAGGTTACTATGGAGTAAACCACTATTTCTTAAAAAAGGAAACATGTCTCAACTTTTCTAAAGACCACATATATGTATATAACTATACACGAAAAAATAATCTTCACCTAAATTACTAGTTTGTTGTAGACTTTTAAATTGTATCCTTTCCATGGTTTTGCTTTTCTCCTCACATTTTTGGTAAACCTGCAAGTTACTTGGCCTTTCATAAATATCAAGCATTCAATGTGTAACGCCAGTCTCATGCCTGCCCTAAGGGGTCTTAATTTGCTTGAATTTAAAATCTCTTGGACTACTTACAAAACAAATCATTAAATGAAAGAATTTTCAGGAAACTAAAAGAAAAGTTATGACCTGATGGCTGAGAAAGATTACCTGGGAACCATTTTTCTAAGTGCTAGATTAAAAGATTATGCTTCCAAATCAAAAACTATTCTAAAGAAATGTTAATTTGTTTGGGTTAATTCCTATTCAATATTTTTATGTTTATAATTTATTTTATGTATGTTTTTAATATCTATATTTAATATATATTCCCAGAGAAGTGGGAAAAAGATATGGGAAGGAAATAGATGAGGAGCAGCAGAGGAAAATGCTTAGATTAATTCACGAAAATATTAGTATGCGGGAAGTGGAGTTGAACTATAAGTGTTTAGTAAGATGGCACATCACACCAAATGTGGAACACAATTGAACGGGGAGATTTCACCATTGTGTTGGAGAGGATGTGGTGAAGTGGGTACGTTATATCACATATGGTGGGAGTGTTTAAAGATACAGGTGTTTTTGGAGGACAATTGTTTACTTAGTAAGGAAAATTACTGAGATCGACATTAGATTGGATCCAGAGCTATGTCTTCTCCATGTCAAAGAGCTTTCAGTGAAATCATATAAGGATTCAGGAATATGGTATTTCTTGAGCACAGCTAAGAGTCTTTTACCTAGGTTCTGAAAAAAAAGAGATGCCGACAGAGGAAGATTGGATGGTCAGAATGAATCAGATTTGTGCGATGGAAAGATTGTATTATATGCATATAGATATGATGGAGAAGTATAATATAAAGTGGAAAAAATGGGAAGAATATAGAGAAAAAGTGAAATATATGATGATGATTTATACCCCTCGAAATAAAAATGGATTTTAGAAATGGTTTTTAGAGAAGAGAAATGCAGAGTGGGAGCGGGAGGGGGGAAGGGAGGGTAGGGGAAGTGGGATATAGATAAATTACGTCAATAAGAATATATCGATTTGATGTCTTTTTTATAGAAATAGGTGTTTGTGATTTGTATTTGGATGAAAATTAATAAATATTTATATATATAAAAAAAAAAATATCTATATTCATTGTGTGTTTTACAAATATAAATACTATATATGCTTGACAAAAGTTAGAGTACTGTGCTACCCTTGGGGGAGATTTACTAAAACTGGAGCACTTAGAATCTGGTGCAGCTTCACATGGCAGCCAATCATCTTCTAACTTAAGCTTGTTCAATTAAATTTAGCATTAAAACTTGGACGCTGATTGGTTTCTATGCAGAGTTGCACCAGATTTTGCACCCTCCAGTTTTAGTAAATAACTCTTAAGGTGTCTGAAGCTTTAGACTGAAGAGTCTGGTAAGTCACTACTCTGACTCATTATTTTATGTGTGTAGATTTCAGTGTCAGTTATTGACCTCTGTTAACATTTTTTTTTTTCAACTTTTTACAACACTGCGATAAGAAGAAACTGGAAAACATGTTAAAAAAAAAAAAAATACATTTGCTTGCTGAATAAAAAAAAAACTGCATACTATTCATATGCAGCATTTCATATTTAAAGCAAATAAGAGTCAGCAGCTACAAATACTGTAATTGCTGACTTTTATTAAAAGGACACCTTCACAGCGATCAAGTGCTGTCCTCACCTGGGCCGGTTCTTCGTTCCCCTTCATGAATGGTCCTGCAGTCTCCTGGGACCTGTGACATGCCCCAGGATGCTGCAGGCAGGGAAGTGGGGGTGGGTACCTGACAAAACTAGGTGCCCACTCCATTCCCCCAAAAATAAATGTTTTAAAACTGATAGAGGAGCCGGGGAGGAGAACATAAAGTGGATCTTCTCTTTTAGACTTCTTTCACATAGATGTTCTAATTGGGTCCGCCTGCCCGTTTTTCAGGCGGACCCAATCGTAACCTCCATTCTCCTCTATGGAGCTGCAGGTGTAAACAGACATGTGTCTGTTTACACCCGCCGACATCCAATCTGACCCGCAAGAGAAGGGATGGATGGGGATCCAATTCCCCTTACGTCTGTTGGATTGGGTCAGATGAAAACAGACAGGCAGCCCGTTTTCATCTGACCTCCAATTGAGGTGAGCAAGCTGCTCTGTGTCCTCTCTGCAGCAGCGGAGAAGACATAGACCTGTAATCTGCTTGCTCGGAGAGATCCCGCGCTGAGCAAGTGGATCTGCTAAACGGGTCTGACCATGTGAAAGAACCCTAAGTGTATTTGTACTTTAGCAGGTAAATTGGGATATCATTTACTTTATATTTGTTACATAGGTAGTCTGGCTTAAAAAAAAAACAAAAGTCCATCCAGTTTAACCATTAAAAAAGAAAAAAAAAAATAATCCTACACCCACAGTTGATCCAGAGGAAGGCAAAAAAAAACCCAGCAAAGCATGATCCAATTTGCTCCTGCAAGGAAAAAAATCCTTCCTGATCCCCCGAGAGGCAATCAGATATTCCATGGATCAACTTTATCTATAAATGTTAATATCCAGTTATATTCTGTGTATCCTAAGAAAGAATCCAGGCCTTTTTTTAAAGCAATCCACTGAGCTGGCCAAAACCAACTCTTGAGGGTGTCTATTCCACATTTTTACAGCTCTTACTGTGAAGAAACCTTTCCGTGTTTGGAGATTACATTTCTTTTCCTCTAGATGTAAAGAGTGCCCCCTTGTCCTCTGTGATGACCTCAGGGTCAATATCTCTACACCGAGTTCACTATATGAACCACTGATGTATTTATACATGTTGATCATATCCCCCTTAATTTCCTCTTCTCAAGAGAGAATAAATTTAGTTCCTCTAATCTTTCCTCATAGCTGATCTCATCCATGCCTCTTATCAGTTTGGTTGCCCTTCTCTGTACTTTCTCAAGTTCCCCAATGTTATTTTTTCTGAATTGGTGCCCAAAACTGAACTGCATATTACAGGGATATCTCTCTCTCTGGAGTCTATACCTCTTTTAATACAAGAGAGGATTTTGCTTGCTTTAGAAACCAAACCCTTGCTAGCCTTTATCCAGCCCTTGGGGCACTATTGCTCCCAATGATATGAAGCATTATTCCTCTCACTGACATCAAAAATGGAGCACTATTTCTTCCACTGAGACCAATGATGGGGCACTATTCCTCTCACTGACACCAATGATGGGACACTATTCCTCTCACTGACACCAATGATGGGACATTACTCTTCCTCCTATATTGACCACCAACCCTGAGGCCATCTGTATTCTCACTGATGCTCGGCCCAGGACATTTTCTACCCCAGCTGGCCACAATCTGGCCCCCCTAAAGTCTGAAGGACAATAAACTGGCCCATTGTTTGAAAAGTTTGGAGACCCTTGATCTAAATGAATGAGCTATAGGTCAACCACAGTAACATACAGTCTTACCACCACCATTGCTATCTTCGTACTCATTTATCCAGTGTTGGATTGTAGCATCAGTTTATGTCACACTACACAGGATTGGGCTGTATACAGTTTGCCTGCTATCGGGGCATTGCTTAAAACAATCATTTCTAAATTCCTAAATTGCAATGACTTTGTTATTATTTCCCATTTTCCCTGGTTGTTCCTTATTTTCAGGGACAGTCATTTTGTAAATTTACCCCTAGAATCATCCCACATATTTATCACCTTCCTGTTCTATAATATTCCACTTTGTTGGGTTAAAACAGAACTCCTTATAGAACCTCACACTTTATTGTAAACAGAAAAAGTCTCTGAATTTTGTTAACATTCTAAATCCCTAAAAAAAAAAAAAAAAAAAAAAGCACTAAAATAGCCTGCACTGTATGTGCTAATTATATTGGATCCATGTGATAAATGCTTATGAAACCTAATGCGTAGGAAACCTAATTTTGATTATAGATACATTCAGCCTGGGATTTAACCGATTTCCATCTTATAAATTTTGAATTTTGATTATAGATGCATTCAGCCTGGGATCCTAGGCTGAATGTATCTATAATCAAAATTCAAAAGTGATAAGATGGAAATCAGTTATGGGGGAGATCACTGGATCAATGTTGGATTACACCACAACATTAGAACATAATAAGTTGCTTGAATTGCTCTGAAATGTATTTTGAAGCATTTGGATATTCATTTTGTATGTGTTAATATAATTTTTTTAATGATACATTGGATAAAAAAATAAAATGTTTTTTTTTTAACGAAGTACCTTCTTCTGTGTATTTAAAGGTTGTCCTTAAAATCACATCAAATGTAAGAAAAAATCTTTAATATTGTATAAATAGGGATGGTGGCAACCACACCGAGTTACACTGAATCATTTTTTCACAAAATGAAGGCAGACATTACAGTTACAATACAATTTGGTAGAAGAGGAATCAGAGGGCCCTGCTCGTTAGAGATTACAATCTAAGAGGGAGGGTCAAGTGATACAAAGGGTAATAGCTGTGAGGTATGAGCTGATGGAGAAAGTAAAAACACAATAATTAGTTAAAAGCAGGATAGGCTTCTTTAAAGATAACGGTTTTCAAGGATCTTCTAAAAGTGGATAGATCAGGAGATAGTCGGATAGATTGGGGTAGAGAGTTGCATAGGATGGAAGAAGCTCGAGAGAAATCCTGGAGGCGAGCATGGGAGGAGGTGACATGGGAACTAGAGAGCAGGAGGTCTTGGGAGGACAGAAGATAACGGTTTGGTTGACATTTTGAGACCAGGTTAGTGATGTAGATGGGGGCCGAGTTGTGGATGGCTTTGTAAACTATTGTTAGTACTTTGATTTTTATTTGTTTTGTGAGTGGAAGCCAGTGGAGGGATTGGCAGAGAGGGGTAGCAGACACTGAACGGTTAGTAAGGTGGATGGGTCTGGCAGCAGCATTCATGATGTACTGGAGGGGGGATAGCCTATGTAAAGGTAAGCCAAAGAGGAGGGAGTTGCAACAGTCGAGGCGAGAGATAACCAGGGAATGAATTAGAAGCTTTGTGGTGCCATTGGTTAAAACGAGGCATATTCTGAAGATGTTTCGGAGGCTGAGAAGGCATGATTAGGACAGGGATTGGATATGGGCAATAGTGGAGATGGTGCAAGGAAAATGATCTGCAGGTAAATGTGAGAAACACCAAGGAAATGATCATAGACTTTAGAAGAAAGAGGGATGGGGGGCATATGCCAGTGGTTATTGACAGATAGGAGTAATTTTAAGTTTTTTCAATAATTTAAAATAAAATAATTTTTTCAATAATTACAGATGAACTTTCATGGTCTGCAACATGTATCAGGTTTGGTGGGAAAGGCACAGCAGTGATTGTGCATTGTAAGGATACTGAAGAAAGCCAGGCTTTGACCACAAATACTGCTTGCTTTCTATAGGGGTGCAATAGATACAGTAGTATTGGGACATACTGTATCATGCCTTCTTGTGGCAGGACATGCGCACGGCCTAGGATATTAGTGTAGTGCAGAGGGTAATACAGATGTAAATACTATAGGGATTGAGTAGCCAGGTATTGAGAACATCAAACAGCAGAGATGCCTTTGTAGGGCACACAAACTTCTAAAGGATATCACCAGGACGGTGCTAGGCTATTTTGTGCCCTATGCAAGACCAGCTACTTGCACCCCCCCCCCCCCCCTCCTGAACCCCCCCCCTAAAAAAAAATACGTCCATTAAAAACCAGCAACAACAGCGGCAGCCATCATCAGAGTATGAGGTAATGCGCCATTCATGCTCCGCATCTGATGCTTGATGGTGCCCTGGGTCCAACAGTGTAAGGGGTGGGACACTGATCACCATGTAAGGGGACACTGACCACCAATGTTAAGGATAGCAGATTACAATGCAAGGTGAGCACTCCATCCACCATTATAGGGGGCACACTGATCACCAATGTAAGGGTGAACACTGACCCCCCAGTGTATAGGGGAACACTCTATCCACCATTATAAGGGGGCCCTCTAATCACCAATGTAAGGGAAAACACTGACCCCCATGCACCCCCCCCCCAGTGTATAGGGGAACACTTTACCCACCAATATACGGGGGCACACTGATCATCAATGTAGGGGGGCACACTGATCACCAATGTAAGGGAAAACACTGACCTCCCCCAGTATATAAGAGAACACTATCCCCGCCATTATAAGGGGGCACACTGATCACCAATGTAGGGGGGCACACTGATCAATGTAAGGGAGAACACTGTCCCCCCAGTGTACAGGGGAACATTCTATCCACCATTGTAAGGGGGCACTCTGATCCCCAATGTAAGGGAAAACACTGACCCCCCCCCCCCAGTGAATAGGGAACACTTTACCCACCATTATAAGGGGGCACACTGATCACCAAAGTAGAGGGGCACACTGATCACCAATGTAAAGGAAAACACTGACCTCCCCAGTATGTAGGAGAACACTTTACCCACCATTATAAGGGGGCACACTGCTCACCAATGTAATAGGAAAACACTGTCCCCCCCAGTGTACAGGGGAACACTTTACCCTCCATTATAAGGGTTACACTGATCAACATGTAAGGGAAAACACTGACCCCCAAGCCCCCCCCCCCCGTGTATAGGGGAACATTTTACCCACCATTATAAAGGGGCACACTGATCACCAAAGTAGGGGGTGGGGGGGGCAAACTGATTACCAATGTAAGGGGAAACACTGACCCCCCCCAGTGTACAGGGGACCACTTTACCTACCATTATAAGGGGGCACATTGATCACCAATGTAAGGGGAACCACTGACCCCCCCCCCCCCCAGTATATAGGAGAACACTCTACCCACCATTAAAAGGGTGCACACTGATCACCAAAGCAGGGGGGTACACTGATCACAAATGTAAAGGAAAACACTGACACCCCCCCCCCCCAGTATGTAGGAGAACACTTTACCCACCATTATAAGGGGGCACACTGCTCACCAATGTAAAAGGAAAACACTGACCCCCCCAGTGTACAGGGGAACACTTTACCCTCCATCATAAGGGTCACACTGATCAACAATGTAAGGGAAAACACTGACCCCCAAGCCCCCCCCCCCCCCTCCAGTGTATAGGGGAACACTTTACCCACCATTATAAGGGGGCACACTGATCAACAATGTAAGGGAAAACACTGACCCTAAGCCCCCCCCAGTGTATAGGGGAACACTTTACCCACCATTATAAGGGGGCACACTGATCACCAATGTAGGGGGGCAAACTGATCACCAATGAAAGGGGAAAACACTGACCCCCCCAGTGTATCGGGGAGCACTTTACCCACCAATATAAGGGTCACACTGATCACCAATGTAAGGGAAAACACTGACTCCCCAGTGTATAGGAGAACACTTTACCCACCAATATAAGGAGGCACATTAATTACCACTGTAGGGGTGCACACTGATCACCAATGTATGGGAAAACACTGATCCCCAGTATATAGGGGAACACTTTATCTACCATTATAAGGGGGCACACTGATCACCAATGTAGGGGGGCACACTAATCACCAATGTAAGGGAAAACACTGATCCCCCAGTGTATAGGGAAACACTTTACCCACCATTATAAGGGGGCACTCTGATCACCAATGTAGGGGGGCACACTGACTCCCAGTGTATAGGGGAACATTCTATCCACCATTATAAAGGGGCACACTGATCACCAATGTAATTGGGCACTACCCTGACCATCAATGTAAAGGGACACATTCACCCACAATGTATAGGGGAACACATTGACTACCAGTGTAAAAGGTTGAGATCCACTAGCCTAGACAGTGGACACTGGTGAGTGACACCATTACTCTCTGTGCCTCTGCTCTCTTGTTGGACCTCCACATCACACAGAGGAGATGGAGCTGTCTGCTAAAATGTATGCATGGCAATGGGGATCACTGAGAGGACAGCATTTACAGTTGCAAGAAAAAGTATGTGAACCCCTTGGGATTACGTGGAGTTTTGCATGAATTGGGCATAAAATGTGCTCTGAACGTCATCTAAGTCACAACAATAGAAGAACACAGTCTGCTGAACATAATACTACACAAACATTAGATGTTGCCATGGTTTAATTGCACATAACATGTAAACATTCACAGTGCAGGGAGGAAAAAGTATGTGAACCTTTGAACTTAATAACCGGTTGACCCTCCTTTGGCAGCAATAACCTCAACCAAACGTTTCCTGTAGTTGCAGATCAGACCTGTACAACGATCTGGAGTAATTTTGGACCACTCTCTTCACAAAACTGTTTCAGTGTAGCAATATTCTTGGGATGTCTGGTGTGAATCGCTCTCTTAAGGTCATGCCACAGCAT